CCAATACCACTGTTTGAAAATAAAAGTTGAAATTTTTTATTTTGGATTTTGAAATCTCACTACCGCCAATACCAGAGTTTGAAAATAAAAGTTGAAATTATATTTTCTCATTTTGGAATTTCAAATCTCACTACTGCAAAAACCTCTAGTTTGAAAGTACTTACATTTTCTGATTTCGAAAAAAAGGCATTTAATAATCTGAAAAGTGTAAAGAAAATGAACAAAAACTAGCTTTTAAAACCTTCAATACCATTTTCTTTTTAAAAAAACATAAAATTTTCGCTCAAAAAGAAGGCATTTTATACAAACACCACACACCCCCCCCTCTCTCTTTTATAAAATAACATATATTTTTGTTAGAGCAAAATCAATTACTTGGAGAAAACTACGAAAACTACTGACACAAGGAGTCAGGGGTCCTAATCTTAACAGGTGAGTCGTTCTAATAAATACTAGATAGGGGCACCCTCCACAGTAGACTAGGGTCAATTTGAATTTGAACCAGACTCACCCCCTGTACCAGCCTTTGTGACATGTGGCAAGTACCGTCCCGACCCCTGGTACCGGCCTTTGTGACATGCGGCAAGTACCGTCCTGACCCCTGGTACCGGCCTTTGTGACATGCGGCAAGTACTGTCCCGACCCCTTGTTCCGACCTTTGTGACATGCAGCAAGTACCGTCCCGACCCTATCCTTAGCCGGTTCGGTTTAAAATTTTATGGCGCTGTCAGACTTTTTACAGTACCCGGCCTATTATAGGCCTATTTGACCTACCATAACCCCACTAACTTAGTTTAGTGTGCCCCAACTAAACTTTCGGTGTGTACTGCAGTGATTAGCAGTACTCTGACCGAGCGAAGAAATAGTGGGGTTTAGTGGACATTGGGGGTCCTGTATATATATATCCTTGTCAAGGGTACTAATATAATCTAGTCATGAGTACTAATATATCCTCGTCAGAAGTCCTATAATATCCTAGACAGGAATGCAAATATATCCTATATCTCCTAAACAGGGTTCTAATTTTAACAAGTTCACTGTTCGAATAAATATTAGTAAAAAATGTCAAAGCTGATAGACGAATTAATATGAAAAACAAAATCCAATATTGATTAATGTTCTAGGTCTGGAATATCCAGGTTTATTAGATCATGGTTCCCCTCCTCCCTCTCCTCCTACCAGAGAGCTATCAAGGAAACCTTAAACCTGGAGAGAAAATTAGAGGAGGAGAAACCTATTCAAACCTTTACCATACCCTTGTCAGGTTTCTTTAGTCTTTACCAGATAAAGAAATAAGTTTAATTTTCGTATATAGAAAACCTTTTGCAAGAATATCAATATTAGGACGAACCACTTTTATTGGGACGAAACACTTACTTTTATTGGGACGAAGCACTTACTTTTATTAGGACGAAGCACTTACTTTTATTAGGACGAACCACTTTTATTGGGACGAAATACTTACTTTTATTGGGACGAAGCACTTACTTTTATTGGGACGAAACACTTACTTTTATTAGGACGAAGCACTTACTTTTATTAGGACGAAACACTTACTTTTATTGGGACGAACCACTTTTATTGGGACGAAATACTTACTTTTATTAGGACGAAATACTTACTTTTATTGGGACGAACCACTTTTATTGGGACGAAATACTTACTTTTATTGGGACGAAGCACTTACTTTTATTAGGACGAAACACTTACTTTTATTAGGACGAAACACTTTTGGTAGGAAGAAACCTAACCTTTCTCTGGAAGAAACACATTTAATAGAAAAAGAAAACACTTTTGAGAAAACTAAAAAACTCTTGGACAAAACTCTTCTGACGAAACACTTTTGATACGACGAATCACTTTTAATAAGACGAATTAATTTAAATTAAACAAAACACTTTTAATTGGACGAAACACATTTGCCAAGACAAATATTGCTCGGACGAAATTTGTTATTTTTTACCCTCTTGAATACAGGACAAGAAGGGGCGGAGGACTACAAGATCAATCTTTGTGAATATATTCTTGAAAACAAATCCATCCAAACAAAGTAAGTTTATTCCGTTATTAACATTTTATTAACGTAATTGACATAAAAGCTTCAATGGAAAATTGAGAATGTGAACCCCTTTAAAGGGAGTGACAGACAATGTATGGTAGTTAAACTGAGATTGCAGTATCATTGAGCATTTTTTAAGGTTTCATTTAAGACTTATCAGACGTTTTTAAGGTGCATATTTGTTCAGGAAGAACGTAAATTCAATATTTAAAATCCTCATTGATAATTTATTTTGGAGGGATCATTTTGAGAATCAGTTTTATAATAATAATTCAAAAACGACGAAAAAAAGTGTAACAAAATTTCTGCAGTAAACTAATTGGATGTTTAGGAACATATTTCTAAATGGAAGTTCGTCAAAAAATCAAATTCTTCAAATGTCGTCTTTTCATTAAAAATTTCAGGAAACCTACAGAAATTGGTTTTGAAAATGAGGCATTACAGAAACCAATAACTGAAATTACTTAGTTTCGATGATAAGAGTTAATTTTTAATTGCTCAGCCTGTTCCTAAACAACCAATAAGTTTACTGTAGAATTTTGTGTTACATATTTTGTGGTCGTTATTGAATAATTTAAATAAAACCGATTCTCAAAATCATCACTCCAAAATGGAAAATATATGAGAATTTGCGCTTTTGCTAAACAAATATGCACCGTAAAAGCGTCTGATAGGTCTCAAATGAATCCTAAAATATCTCTCAATAATACTGCAATACTACCATACATTGCCGGTCACTCCCTTTAATATGACAATTAAAATGATGTATGCATACATATCAATAATTATAAAAAGTTTATTTCGTAGACAATAAAGGTACAATAGATAAAAGCAAAGATTATTACGAGATGTATAGTATGCAAACATATTTTAATGAATGAAAGATTGAAATAATATTCTTGATAATCAAAATTGTCAAAAGAAATTAGATTAGATGTTACATCTAACAATTCACAAATAAATCACGGGCAGCCGTAGTACATTTTAATTTCCGATCCGGGTCAAGCTTTCCGGTCCCAGTTTGTACTGTACCTAGCTTTAGGGACAGGACTAGCCGGTGTAACAAGGTTGACGCGGTCAGAGTTTATGCTTCATATATGTTGATTTACTTTTACTAAAGGGGCAGAGGTGCTTGAAATGGTATTTTCCCATAGGTATCATTCAGTCGGTTAAATTTTGTTTGGACAGATTATCCATTTCTGGAATAGAATTCATATTTTTACAGAAAACAGTTCGATGATAATTTTTAAACAGATAATAAAGAAAACGGATTTATAGCTTATCAATACAGTTTATCCTTAGGAAAACGCGTCAAATCTGCTTGCTATCAACGTTTTCAAATGCACACATTAGAAATCAAAATAATATTCAAATGGAAACATTTTAAGAATTATATAGATTTAAAACATTACACGTGCCAAAAATTCATAGTTTAGACCATAGATAAATAAATAAACATAGATAGTTTATGTACGCAAAATCACCAAGAATTGTACAGTCGCGAACTCATACTTCTAGGGGTCAAAGTGTACTTCAATAATAAGCGGGGTGGTTTGGTGTTTTAATGGATTTCATAATAGAGTGTAAAATAACTCCGGGAATGGAACTATTTGAACAACAATATTTCACTGAGCAATATATCATATTGACGAGAACTGAAGAAGGACATGAGAAGGACTAAACTAACATAAATTTCTCTCTACAGAACTCATGTACACCACAAGTACTCAATGACATAAGAACAGTCAATGTTCACAACCGACCTATACCCGATTCGTTAAACAGTTTCGAGTTGTGATTTAGCTGCGATTTCCCAGGCTAGCTAGGCGAGGAAGTCACAGCTAAAGCATAGCTAGAAAATGTCTAACGAATCGGACACTAGTTAATCTATATAATAGGAATATCTTTAAAACATCTCTTTACATTTATTTCTTTCAAGATGAAAAATGTCGTCTTATGCGCAATCTATCTTTATCCATAGTTTAGACCCGTAAAAATCACAAGCATAAATACTGTAAAATTTCAAACCCCAGATATCATCGCCAATTGTCAAAATTATACCATATAACACCATGATAGATAATTTTTTTCAGACAAGATTGCAATAAATGGCGAAGCTGGAGAAGATTGGCGAGGAAGAAGAAGATGAAAACAGTAAATAAAAAGAAGAAGAAGACAAAGAAGAAGAAGAATGTGGAAAAGAAAGGAAGAAAGCAAACAGCTCAAAATTTTATAAATAATTTAGTTCAAAATTCACTGTCTCAGGGTTTGAAACCTACATTAATTAACATCTAAAAATGGTGCGTACCGGAAAAAAAGTCAATGATTCTATTTTTGGATATTTTCTTTAAATTTGGTTTGTCAGATTTTACATAAATTTAGAAATATTTTTTTATCTATTTATTATTTTACTTTGACAAACTATCTATTAAAATTTTATTTAATTCTTGTTTTGACATTTTTGTATTTATTGCTTTATTCACAGATTCAAGTGTAATAATAAATCATTTGTTCTGTAAAGATAAAAATCTCTTGTTGTGTTTGATAAAAAGAACAACATAAAGACTGAAGTATTTATTTAAAAAATTTAGTTTGTAAAAATTTCTGCTTATTTTATTTAAATTATTTTGTAAATATTTCGACATCATGAATGAATGAATATATATTTGTATCAATTATTGAAGCCCTACATTTTCTTCAAACAGATTAAAATAAAAAAGATAAAAATATATTTAAAGTTATAGTTTTAGATTTTTACATTGATAAAATTCTAAAAAGGGCAAGTTGTTGGATTGCAAATTAAAAAAAGTAAAAAATATTATAATTTTACAATTTTTCTGAATTCTTTGTAAGATTTTAATTGCAACAAATAAACGTATAAACAAAAAAGTAAAGTTTAAATATTGTTTAAATTAGAAAATTAGAAAATTTTATTTTGATGCAACAAACAATTCCTATGTATGCAGTAAGTGAAAATTCTGATTGTTAATTAGGTATAATTACCAACATGAAGACTAGTTATAAATCATCCATGATGGGGGGGGGGTCGGTTTAGCACATAAATTTCCCTAGAAATAGATCATTTATTTGTTGTACTGTCCCGAGTTTTCTTACATAATCTGTAATTGTACTGTGCAGCTTTCATTAGAAAGTTAAAAGTCGGCTCGGTACTTGAGATGAACCGAAGTTTACAGTGCGGAGGTTTCTGAGATATGTTCGGAGAACAAACAAACCATGCAAACATACCAGCAAACATACCAGCAAACATACCAACAAACATGCCAGCAAACATACCAGCAAACAAAGCAGCAAACATACCAACAAACATACCAACAAACAAACCAGAAAACAAACCAGCAAACATGCCAACAAACAAACATACCAACAAACAAACCAGCAAACATGCCAACAAACATACCAACAAACAAACATACCAACAAACAAAGCAGCAATCATGCCAACAAAGATTACTACTTCTTATAAATAGAAACTCACTCTATTGATTTTAATGCCATTCAAAAATTAGCTCTTTGGCCCGCACTGACTCATTGGATATTCATATTTCGTAATTTTTATTCTTTACTTTTTCTTGTACAATAGATTTTAGCAACATTGTATTTAAATCTAGATAAAAGGAGGCGCGTACAAAACCCTCATTTATCATCCACTTCAAACTAAAGTAAAAGATAAAGGAATTGAGTCTTTGCCACAAACTCAAATGTTCAAATCCCTTCATCTTTACAACAAAATGGTGTAAACCTTTGATATTTTAAACTTAGATTATTTGATCTAGCAAATTCATATTTTGATTAGAAAATCAGAGTTGGTGGCAAAAACTCAATTTGCTTTTGATATTATCTTGTGGCATAAATAACTACGAATAGCAACGAGGCCACAAAGGCGTACCAGTAGTATCGCATAAATTTGACCTTCTCTCTCTGTCTTATTCATAAATATAGTTTCAATAAAGTAATTAATATTTTATTCCAATAGTTGCAAGGTTTCCACTTGTATATAGACATTTAACATCTGCTTGTCATAGTTTTGTATAGTTTAAGATCTAAGGTCCTCTACTGGAAATGTTTAACAGCTTTATAGAATACAAATCTCATTAATTTGCTCACTAGTAAGTCCATTGAATTCTGCATAATTCTATCAAAACACCAGCTAGATCAGACTAGGGGTAGTGGTAAGGCCCTTGGTCAAAACCTTGGTGATTTAAAAAATATAATCTTTTTAAAAATCTTGAAACCTCGACCACACTCGAAGAAGAGGCCTTACCCACCTTTATAGATTACATGGGCAGATTCTAATTGGCTATCAAAGACTTATCCTGCAGTAATGATCCTAGAAGTTATAAAAATATTAGCAAACTATAATAACTACGAGTTTAATAGCCGCAGCGCTCGGACCCTTAGCCCATCCTAGCCGCAGCGCTTGGCCCAGAATAATGGCTGCAGCGCTCAGCCCAGATAAAATTCCAACCTAACCTAACCCAGGATATAGATAAGATGACAATTGACCAGATTGTATTTGTGAAGCAGTTAAATTTAAATGTGAACAAAATGTGTGAATTGAGGCTATTATAGGTATATTCTAGTACAATAGATGGCAACGTAGAATTTTACACTCTCAGTACATCTGTTATCTTACGTCACAAGTGACAACTCAGTTTTTGTTTCCGACAAAATTATTAATTATAGTGATAATTTTAGAATAAGGTGCTTATCTTACAGTAAAATAAGTTTAATTTTATAAGTTTTTTGGTTTCTGTTTTTACACTTTTTTATATAATCTTGGAAAACATGTCAATCAATGTTATCAAAATTTAATTTGCCTTGTTATATTTGACACTTGTGACGTCGTGTATAATTATAAGCAGAGGGTAACAAACTGAACCTCAGACTAAAATTTAGCTTGAAACGATTTTTTACATCTCCAAGAATCTCTTAAAGAAATATATTTCTGAATTTGATCTAAACCATTTTCTCCCGAAATTGGTTTGAAATGGGGTTTTTAGGATTTCTAAAAAAATAATAAATACAATATATGATGTAACTTCATATAACAAAGTTCTATAAGTAAAAGGGTTTAAAAATAAAGAAAAAACTCTAGTTAACTGAATTTTTAAAATGTATCTCTCATTTTTTCTCTATAAATACTCTTTACAACAGCTTAATTATGCATATCATTAGTAAAGGATATTATAAGGAACCTGTTTACAAAATATAATAATATTTATCAATATTTTCCTACCTTACGATCCTTATTCGAGGCAACGGCCAAGAGGCGCGGTGAATTTTTCTCCACTCACGCCCTGTAATAATAATAAAAATAATAATAATAATAATAATAATAATAATAATAATAATAATAATAATAATAATACAAAATCAAAATTTCAATATGAGAAAAGTTATAAATATATATTAAATCCTGAGATATTAACTGAATAATGCATTTTACTGGAAAATTCAAATAATTAATTATTGTATTGGATTTTACAAGGTGAAACTTAAAACAGTATCGAATCTAGAGAAAGAAGGAATACAAAAATACATGATTATTGTCATGTGTCTTGATTATCAATATGTCCTTTTTTACCTTATAGACCTTTTGTACTTAAATATTTAGAATACATGCTCCAACTAAAAAGTATGAAAAAGAAAATGCTACATTTAATAATTGGAAATGGGTTCCAAAGATAAGACTTAAGGGACTTTTGTCCTGGACACAACGACGCGACGCTGTGTCCCTTTCTATCTATTTCAATAGATATAATATCCTGATATATAATACCTCGATTTTTTTATTGAAAACGCAGCCTCCAAAAAAGTTCAAAAGTAAAAAAACGAAAAATGTAAACACTTGTTGAAACAAGAACAGAGCTGATAATGTCCGTACACACATAGATTTTGCCCGCTTAATTTTTTTTAAACAGTAACGACTTTGAAGTGTCACAACGCCTTGGGCTTTTATTTTACCACTCTTACTCACTTTTGCTCTTCTGTAGCTCTTTTCATGTAAATTTAAGCACTAGTTTTATCTTTGATTTTTAAGAGGTAATTGTCGAAATTCTCATCGATTTTTGTTTGAGAGCTTGCAACCTTTAAATCTGCAGTGCCTCATATATCAAATTACGAAATGTTGAATACTTACCCTTTGGTCTACATGCCTCCTCCTCCTCCTCCTTCTCCTCTCCTATCTCCTGATCAGTTTCAGAAGTTCCAAACCTCGTTATACAACTAAACCTCCTAAACATTCATTAATTTATTCATTCATTCCTCATATTTCAAACTACGAAGGTCAGGTCAAATAGTTAAAATTTGCAATATCAATGGTTTACGCCATCAGGTTACAAAGATAAAGGAATTAAAATATTTGATTTTTTGGCAAAGACTAAGTTCCTTTGCTTCATGTTGTTACATGCCTCCTACCTGAGTGCGCCTCTACTTCTCTTTGCTCCAAACCTTGCACCCTTCTTAGATCTCATCATTTTCTAACCAAAACTCAGTCAGCAAATTAAGTGAATTTTTTCATGATTGAGTTGATTTGTTCACAAAAAAAAAGAAGATTGAACTTAAAAATAAAATTTAAAATAATCGAGACATTTTGTAAATTCTGACCGATAGAAGTAAAAGATCGACTCATAATTAAGAAAAAATATCGTCCAACATTGCATTGAATTATTTTCGAGCTTTTTCCATAAATGATAAAGTTGACCGGCAGAGTTTATTCCTTGAAGACTAGAAATCCGTCCGCGTTGTTTGAGGCCCCAACTAAAAATATTTTTATTAGGAAAAGTAAAAAAAAAATATTTTTCCCTCAAAAAATACCTGATCTATTGCTGGATTGTGAGGATTGATCTGTATCCTGGTTCTGGTACAACCAGGAGTACTGGTAGGGTGTATTCAACCCTGGATAATATCCCCGGGGTCCGGGAGGGAGAGGTATTGAGCTCTCTAGTTTTTATTCAACTTATTTGGAATCCTTGGATACTTTTATAGGCACAGAATCAAATTAAAATTGAATTTTGACGTATTGGAGAGATTCGATTACAGTGATAACCAGAAAACTCTGGAACAGAATGAGGTCTCTTAGACTCAAGAAATGGCTTTACAGTCCAATCAACATATGACACAGCAATTGTAAAGTGTAAACTTAATAAGTGACTAGTAAGTTAATAGTAAAATTATTTGCTTTATAACAACATTAAATACATTTTAGTATTGCTATAATGTCGTCTTCCTAATTCACAGTTTTCTGGTTCTCATTGTAAACAAAAAAATGTTTTTTGTTTACGTTTATGTGCAAAGAGAAAGGAATGAAGAAACCTTTTTATCACTGTCACTTGCAACTTGCTTGGCCACTGTCATAAGTAAA